GCCCGCGCGCGGGCCCCGCCGCCGCCGCCATGGTGCCGTGCGGGGCGCTGCTGTGGCGCAGGCTGCTGAGGAAGCGCTGGGTGCTCGGCGTCGTCTTCGGGCTCTCCCTCGTCTACTTCCTCAGCAGCACCTTCAAGCAGGTCAGTGCCGCCTGCCGCCTTCGCTGCGTGTAGTTATTTACGTCCCGGAAAGGGGTGTCCGGGGAGCTGAACCAGTGCCTCCGTGCAGGCGCCGGCCGGGCCTGCGCGTCGGGGAGGCCTCTTCTCAAAGACCCCCTGCTGCGCTTCCCAAATGGAAGCAGAGGCCTTTTGCTTGCCCGTCTCGTCCTGAGGCTACGTTTTGGAGCTGGGAGGGGGACAGATGCTGAGGGACGCGACCCTCTTCTGTGATAGCCCACGGGAAGCGGGAGCAGCCGCGCGCCGGGCCCGCAGCGAGCTCGCGGCCCCGGTACCGCTGACCGGGGCTGCTTCGCCTGCCGCGCTGACGGCCTTTGCTGCGCTCCTCGTGCCGCCGTCCGGGGGGAACCGCGTGTTGGGCCACGAGGGCGAGCGCGGCTGGTGCCATTGCTGCCTGTCCTCGCAGGAGGAGAGGCCGGTGCGAGACCGCAGCCTGCTGCAGGTGCAGGAGCACGAGCAGCCCATCGTGTGGAAGGTGCAGTTCAGCCTGGGCAACAGCAGCCAGCTCGGCAACCAGTGCAGGAATTCGGTGCAGGGGAAGCTCCTCATCACGGATGAACTGGGTGAGGCTTTCTTGGGCACGCTGTGCTGCYGAGGGCTTCCTCGCCCCATCCGCCCAAGTGGCCGTCGCTTTTTACCCCTTAAGTGTGTGTTTTTAAGTGCGCAGAGCCTTTCTCCCGTGCACATGTGCATGCCCTGTGTGCTTCGTGATGTCCAAGCACTGACTCTCTCTTGMCCAGACATCAGAGGCCATAACAAAATGTTACCAAGTTCCCTATGACTTAACTCRGGTAGTGCTTAATCTAAAGTTTATGCTAACAGAAGCTGTGGCTTTCTAAAGTCGCTTGTTCACCAAAGTCTCTAAAATGATTGATATCCTTCCAACTGTGATAGGGCAGTCTCCTTAGGTATTTTCACTGTTCTACTCTGTTAAGGATTCCTTCAAATCCTTACACTTATCTTTGGGATGATGCAGCTACCCTGTGTGGTCTCCTCTTTACACTGGTGAAGTCCACACTTCCAGTCYCAGCAACAACCTGCCAAAAAGATATCAGAACTTATATGCTTAGCAATTTGAGGTGATAGTGTGTATACTGTGTGACAGTTGTGCAGGCAGTGCCAGGCTGTTGTAAAACCCGGCGCTTTTTTGAATGCCATTTCAAAGAATTCGGTCATATTGAGGATCATATTCTACTAAATGGTAAATAAACCCATTCCAAAAATGTGTTTCTTATTATAGGATTTCCTATGATTTCTCCTCTGCCTATTCCCATGGAAGACACGGAGTAATGACTCTTCCCGTTGCAAGTGCTGTCTSTGCTTTTCAGGCTACGTCTGTGAGCGGAAGGACCTGCTGGTCAATGGCTGCTGTAACGTGAACGTGCCCAGCACGAAGCTGCACAGCTGTGCGAGCTGCCTCCCGAACGGCTGCTGCAGCGTGTACGAGCACTGCGTCTCCTGCTGCCTGCAGCCCAGCAAGGTGCGTGGACTTGCTCTGCTTGCCTGTTCTCAGACTCCTCACGTCTCCTGGTGGATAAAGGTGCTTAGCGTGAGGACCATTTTCCTTAGAGAGGGGACAGTTCCTTTTCGTGGATGAGAAAAGTCTGCTAGAACTGTGTGACAAGCTCTAAATAGTATATATATATTTTTTAAGCCATTCCTCCCACCTTTGAGAGTAAATATTGGGAGCCATGTGAAGTGTTTCAACTTAAAAGGCTTTGCATTTGCAGAAGGGAAGTGATGATAAAATAGTTATTCCAACTAGGATATTAGCCTTTACTGTATTAACCTTATACTGCTTTTTGGAAATGCTCAGTAGAACTGTTTGCTATTCCTCTGAAATTTGGTCAGTGTAACTTAATGTGGGTTTTAATAAATTCTTGTTAATTTATTTGAACTGTTTTAGCAACATCTTTTGGAGCGTTTCTTGAACCGGGCAGCTATAGCTTTCCAAAACCTCTTCATGGCAGTGGAAGATCGCTTTGAGTTGTGTCTGGCAAAATGCAGAACCTCATCACAGGTAAGGCACAAGTGTACGTCCAGTGTGAACTGGAGGGCTCAAAAATGACAATATCCAAAATGTGCCCTTGAAGAGTGGGGCTTGGTTCTTCAAGGGGGTTCTTCTTGGTTCTTCAGGGGCTGTTTTGGGCATATGCATGTGGGTTTATGTGTATAGGTACTGAGACTGTGGCTGTGAGCTAATCTGAGGGCAGTCCTTTGATTAAGCAATGTGAAATAATAACATCAAAAATAAAGAGCATTGCGTCTATTTAGAGCAGGATGAGCAGTGTACCCTTTTTAGAAAAGGGGTGCTAAGCTAGAAAGAGGCCATCTGAGTTTAGTGGCTGAAGATTTCATAAGAATTTTATTCTTATCTTTATGAGATCTTCTCCAATATAACTTGTTCCTGGTAGCTTCAGAGATGCTGTTTATCTTGGGGTATGTTTTTAGATTTTTTCCCCATGTATTGATTTTCATCTCCATAGCCACTCAAGCAAAAAGTATGTGGTAATGTGTTTTATTTATTGCCTTTAAAAACAGAGATGAAATTCTGTTGCCCAGTAAAATTACAGTAGTTTTATTAGAATTTTTGGCCAAAAGCAAACATAAGACCTCTTAGAAAATGCTGATGGAGATGGCATAAGTAGTTAATATAGCACTAGAGGTGAACTGTAAACAAAGGGCAGTTCCCTATCTATATCTCCTAAGMTTTGCTTTTCCCATTAAAAGCACATGCATCTGGAGCAGCAGCTTCATGCCTTGTTTCCCTACAACATTGGACAGCTTTGCCTCAGCATATCTGAACTTCTGTGATGCTCAGTCTGATCTACTTACAGTTCAACAGTAGAGTACTGTAATACAACAACTGACTTTTATTGTATATTGGAGGTGCAGTGCTGTTTGAACTGTGATGACATTGTAATGTGTAGAAGTGCTTGGAAATCCTTTGCATACCTATAAACACTTAAGGCTTTGCGTCTTGTAGCATAGGGGTGTATTGTTTTAATGTGTATTGTTAAGGCTTCTCCTCTTCCCCACAGAGTGTGCAGCATGAAAACACCTATAGAGATCCTATTGCAAAGTACTGCTATGGCGAGTATCCCCCAGAGCTTCTGCCTGTTTGAAAGCTGCATGATCTGAGCAACAAGGGGAAGGAGCTGGAGACTGGAATCCAGAAGAGCAAGGCAACAACTGGTGCTTTACAAGAACTTCAGGGTGAACGGTTCATGATGTTTTCTGGGACAAACCCAGAACTAGTCAGTGTAAAGAAGGGATTTGAATTCTCTGGGACTGAATTTTGCTCTCTTCAGTTGTTAACATGACTGCTTTGGAGCACTAGGAGGACATTTGAATACTGAAATATTTTGTGTAAACAAATAGCTAGCATTTGAAGATGCATTGAGTGGATTTAGGCTATAGAAATTTTTGTGTAGGAAAAATACCTAGTACAGCTTTGCAGTTGTGCACAAAGGTTCAATTGTGTCTCTGCAGCCCAGAGGCTTTCCAGATTGACAGCAACAGTTAGAGGATTTGTGCTTTTAGAGAGAAGCATCGCCTGTTGCACTTCTCTCTGGAGCACTTTGACATGCATGGTGTACACTACATATGTAATTATGAATTATTTATTCAGTTTATATGGATTGCTAGCTGAAAGTATTGATGTTTCACATAGCTAGTTGTTGATGCCTTTCAGTTCCTATTTCATTATATTGGGTAGAAAGGATCCTGACTAAAATTACGTATTTTTCTTCTCCTTGGTCTGAAGGATTTGTATCAAGATCACTATAGTGCTTATGTTCCTCCCAGGTGAGCTTAAGGCACTCAGAACTCCAATGGAGTTGTTATTCTGTCAAAGTCCCTTAATATGAGAGGATTGCAGCATTTTTCTGGGGTGGTACGTTTATTTTTTAATGCTTTCCTCATTGCTCTCCAGCAGTTTCCTCAAAGAAGAGTCTAAATCTTATGAACTCTGCTAGGCCATTTTCTCATGGGGAGCACTGAAGATTTGTTTGCTGCAATTCATTCATGTCCTGGTGATTCTAACATACTTCACTCCTGGTTGTTCAGGAGGCAAAGGGTGGAGCTGTTCCAGGATTCCAGTTTAACAAAATGTCCTTGCATATTAAGTAATTACACTAGAACGTCAGAACGTTGTGCAAGCCCTCCAGTGAGGACAGCTGTGTTGTAGGAGTTCAGTTAAAACTTCTGTGATGTTTTGATTTGCACCGTGACATGCTTGCTATTCTTAAATTTCTGTCTCGTCAGAACTGTGTGAGAAGACAATGTTGGTTCTCCCATCAATTTCCCATAGCTCTCTGAAGCTGCTGTTTAAGCATCTTCTRACTTGTAAAGACTAAGCAAGGCTATGCAGCAGTGAGTAAATTTTAGATAAGCTGGATGATACTGATTAAATTTGTATCCTTCGTGAATGTCAGTATGTGTAAGGCCAAAGCACTAAAAAAATCATTATATATATGTAAATACACATATATAAAGCATAATTTCTCTTATTTTTACCTTAGCCATCTCTGTGCAAATTCTGTGATTTTTGACTTTGTGTACACTTGTTTGAACTGGCACTTTCTATTGCCTAAGATGAAAACAATCTACAGAGGCTTAAAAAAGGGAACACTGGAGTATCTTGGTGCAAAGCTTATCTGAAGAATGCTTTTGCAGGATGTTCTCTGGGGCTTATAATTAAACCTGCATGTGAGACAAATAAGAAGTTGTGTTACCAGCCATCTGATAAAASCCACTTGTATTGTTTTCGTTGTTCCTTCCCAGAAGTCATCAAGTGAGATAATGATTCTGTCAGCAGATTCTCCCGAAAAGCTTGTTTCTCCAAAGCTTAAAAGCCTCAGCGCCAGCAGCTTATCCACTCACATCCCTCTCTCCCCTTTGCTGCCCTCCTATGGCCGCTTGCTGCAGCGACGTGATGCAATGTGAAGTGCYATCTCGAGAGGCTAGCAGAGGTTATTCGCTTCCCTTTTCAGTGTTAAACTGATTTTTCACACCCATTCCACAGTTTCACAACTGGTTTTCTCAGAGAAGGTTGGTCTCTTATAGCATTCCTACTGAGCTGTATTCTACTCGATGTTGCTGTGCTGCTGCCGATGAGGTGAAGATGCTGTTGGATTTCTATCACCTTTCCAACTCAATATTGATTCCTTGGCTGGTTGTGCCACTGCTTGAAAGAGTCATGGTGAGAAATCATGAGAACTAACCCGTGTCAGACATCTGTGGGAATTCTTGGCCTCTGTCTCTTCCAGAAAAAGAAGTGATGACAAGTGTATCATGACCATTGCCTTTTGCTGGGACAGAAGCCACAGCTTTCCCGCCTTGGTTGTCAAGCTGTTTAATTCATTTCTATCCTATATGATAAGTCATTAAAAATGTATCTATGTTCTAAAATACTGCATGTTCTCATGTGTGCCCTTGAACTACAAGGGGACTGTAGCAAAATTTTAATGATGCAACAGAGTAGAAAGRGACACTGAGATTGAATATGCTAAATCGGGACAAGGCAGTGGAGGCAAACAGGAAATCTGCTCAGTTCGAGTTAAGTAGAGAACATGTTTCTTTAATGGTGCACAGAAACATCTGTCCCTTTGCAAGACTGGATTGAGCAGGAAAAGGAATGATTGCCTAATGCTGGGARATGTTGTGATAAATGTCAAATCTGTGCTTCCCTCCCTGGAGTATCAACCTGCTAATGCTTCTGTGTGGCTGAAGTGGTAAAATGTTCCTTAACTTGGTGGGCTGGACATCTGAAAAGGCAAAAGAGCTTCTGAGCTGGGGCCGGCAATGAGCAGATGATGAGTGGGGATGGTGGCACAGCCAGTTCTACACACAGTATTAGCTCTGATAGAACGTTTTTTTTTTTGTTGTGGTGGTGTTTTTTTTTTTTTTTTTTTTTTAATAATGAACCCTTCTCCTTTAGGAGAGGACTGGGAGGGGGTAAAGAGGAATTCCCTAACTCAGCAACTTCCACAAAATTTGGACCTCAGCAAGTTATTGGTGTGTTAATATGTCCCCCGCATTTCCCTAGAAGTGTAAGGAAACAACTCTATGCTGAGAAAAATAATGTGAGCGCTGTGGCTGAAAAGCTTGTATTGTTGAACTACAAACTAAGTACTTTCCACTAGGGTCGAAGATGACAAATTCCTGTTGTGAAAGGGACTTGGTGGCAGGTGGTGGTATTTTCCTTTCTTAGGATTATAGCTAATTTGATTCTAATAATAGCAATGAAGGCCAGCAAGTTCTTGCCAGTTTAATGAAAGTTTCCAGTGAAACTTGGCTCTCATTTTATTCCACATTTTTTTTTTTTTTGCATGCCCCTATGGCCTAAGACAGCGGGACAAAGGAGGCGCAGGGTGATAGCTGCCTGATACCAGCCTACCTGCCTGGCTACAYGGAGGCTGTAGCTCCTGCCACCTCCAGCCCTGGCCCTTCTCGGAGCCCCTCAAGGTAGCAATCGTGTGACTAATGCCCCTCTTTCTTGCATGCACTCATGAATATAATAAGGTTGTGAGGAAAAGCAGGATGTGGCCAGGAATGAGGTACCCCTGCCCACTTTATGTAAGAGCTCAAGCACTGGACACCACCATGCGCACAAAGATATGCAGGTGTGAGATGCACTTAAAAASGCACAAGTGTGGTAGCTGTGCATGAAGAGCTGCACTGAACCTCTTCTACTGCCTTTCTCAGTTCGTTTGCCGCTGCTCCGTGGGGTGCGAGGCAAGGGGAAGGCGGGAGAACCCCAAGAGAAGCTGCGAGGGCCATGACCCGGTCAGGGAACGGCAGCACGGGCCGAGCCGCGYGGTGGCGGCACCTCGCGCCCGCTTCCCCCCTCAGCGCCGGCGGCCACACCGCACCGGACTGGACCGGATCAAACCGGCTCCTCGCCACCTGCCTCCGCGGGCCGCGCGGTGCCGAGGCCGCTCGCAGCGGCCAAGCGAGGTAGAGCTGGGCGCCTTGCGTCGCTTCAGCTGCTGTTTTCTTCACAGTAACTTGGCAGCTTTCCTGCTGGACTAGTCCTTTATTTTTTTTTAAGTATTTTTCATTTTTGGTTAAAATGAGTGTGTGCAGAGCCATGATAGTGTGTAGTTAAGTGTGCAAGGCTTTGCTGCCGCTCTGCGTGGCTCGTGCTCCGGCACTGAGGCCTCGGTGTCRGGGATGCCGGGTGCTGCGGGCTGGCAGCCGCGTTGTCCGCCGCGAGCCCGGGGTGCCTCTTTCCTGCTTCCCAGCTATCCCAAACTGCCCCACTTGTGTCCCCTCACTTCACCGGCTGCTCTGGTTTCTCTCAGGTGATTTTTTTTTTTTTTTTTTAATTTCTTAGACCCTTATAACCTGCTTTACCTTGGAGTTACCTTGGCTGCAGTTACAGCGGTTTGAAATAGGATAGCTGGGATCCTTGCTTTGGGAAAATGCCTTTCCAAGGGAGGAAAGATAGTAAGAGATCCACCACCTTTGCGGATCCACTTTCCTTTTGCTGCCTTTCCAGTTCCCCTTTACCTCCCGTTTTAATCCGGTGCCAGATGTAGTTTTCAGTGGGCCGTCATGTTCCCCCTTTGCTTTCGGTCCATATGCAGAACTTCAGGCCATCGTGGGCTCTCAGGGAAGGGCATGCCAAGCCTTAACAGGAGTGTCAGGAAAGGACTGGTGCTGTCTTGGGCACACGCCGCCCGCTYGGCTAGGGAGCAGAGCGTGAGTTTTGCTGTGTGTGTTGCATTTTGGAACTCAGACCTTGGGCCGGGACCCTGCTACTCAAACCAGGTATGCAAATGCATAGGATTTGCTTCAGTAATTATAAAGTTTCTTTTTCAGCAGCTGGAGTTCCACATCTTTTCAAAAGTAGCTGAAAAGATCGGTCACTGGGGAAAGCATTTGTTCGAGTTAAGATACCCTAGTTTGCTGCCAACTGCAAACTTGCTTATGGGAGAAGTAAGGGTTGTGCAAAGGAAAAGTGTGCGTGCTATCTGGCCTCAATATTTTACCAAGAATGGTTTATATTTAGATCTTTCCTGCAATGGCAAAGAGACATCAGCATTAATAATACTGTTTTGGAGTAGTCACTTCAAAATTTCCAGTTATGTCAAGGAGCACAGTGGAGTTACAAGCATGTATCTTTACCTGCCGCCATGGAAGCCCAGTGCTGAAATGTAATTCTACCAAAATACGTAAACAGCCGTCTTTTTCTTTGCTTAGTGACACCTGGGAAGTGCAGTTCCTGGTGCTCAACGCACTTTTTTCCTGCCCTGCTAGTTTTCAACTTTGAGCTGGACTCTATCTAAAACTGTGTGTTCCTCTTTACAGAAGCTTTGGGGTTGAAAGGAGGTGATTTGCTGATGATACATGAACCGGAAAAACAATCTTGGATGCTTTAAGTTCTAACCCCAAACATTTACTGCAAGGCAGGCCCTTTTCCAACACCATCGTCAGTTAAAAGATAAATGAGAGGTTTTATTTACCTTTTGAAGTTGGCACGCTGAAGTTTGGTAACATGGTCCCAAGATTCTCTGYACAGCTCTGAAAGTCTAAGTTTTCTTTCTTATGCAAAAAATGAGGTTTCTGTGTGGTGTGTGTGGTGACCTTACTCCAGCAGCTGCAACCGAGAGCAAAGCAACGAATCAGAGACCTTTGAAAAAATAGTAGGCATTGGCAACAGTGAGAGCCCTGTTATTTCTGTAGTATGAGGGAAATGAAAATCAAACTTCACTCTGTAGGGCTTAGTTTGTTCTGCACAGCAAAAAGAAATTCTTTTTTTTTTTTAATACAGACAAGTAATATTCAAATATGGAAGATTTGTAAAGGAGTTGTAGTTTTTATGAAGTCACCTTTGGCTTCTGACCTGATTTGTGCAACAAAAGGGGGCTTCTGCTGGAATTCAGTAAGTGGTTTGGGTAAAGGCTGTGAGTTTTGGAGGGTACCGCTGTACTTGTTGGCTCCTTGCCAGTTACCTTGCAGGTAGTTTCCATTTARAGAGCCGATACATTCCTTCCTCAAAATCAGGCTTTGCAGTGGGAACTGCTAGCGACCGGGTTGTTAAAACAAATTAAGCTATCTATTTGTGAACATCAATGAGACATTTTTGGTGTTACACTGTGTGCACTTGTCACAGTGCTGCCACATCAAGGTTGGAGTGAAAAGGTGACTAGCTGGCAGTCGCTTAATCAAAGAGAGGTGCTGAGTTCTTAGGTAAGCCAGGCAAGGTGAGGCTTGCTGCTTTTTACAAGCACATGATGAATATGCTTTCCAGAACGCATGTTCCTCATGGTGGAAGCAGCAGCTGCATGTGATCTGTGTCACTGTCAAGGAAAAGTGAGATGTAGTTAATTCTGGGCTATGCAACAAAGGCATTGATCAGGGGTCTTCTTGTGACCGCTGAGTATCTGCAGTAAC